AACAATGCTGCATGCGGTAGTAGAGCTCTAGTTCTCTTCCTCCGGCTGCCTTCGTCAGAGAGTTGGCCAGTTGAGCTTCTGAATGCACCCAGCGTAGCTTCAAGCCCGTCTGTTGCTCGGACTCCTTGAGTCCCAGCATCTCTATGTCTGATCTTTTCTCCGCGCCTTTGATCACTATGACCTCGTTTTGAAACTTGTCATAGACATTGCGAGAGTCCGTGATCACACAGCCGTCTACGGCTGCGACCACCTTGTTGGGGCGTCGTACGTCGACGCCTCCGAAGATGATCTCAGACCACTGGTACCTTGCGAAGTACAGAGCGTCCTCTCCACTGGTTGCTGCTAAGGTCTCAGCAGCACCAGGCGACCTGCAGGCCCTTTCCACCTTAGTAGAGTGCCAGCTAACGGGCGACACTCGCCCCAGCTCGCCTTCCAACAGCGCCTTAGTGCCAAAGCCAACGAAGATTCCCTGAGTACTCCCTCCGTTGCAGCGATTCTGGCTCGCTGCATCCACCCATGCGAACAGCATCACCTGTTCTTGCGGACTGAACTTATGGATGAGCATCTTGTGTTTGCGTCTGGCCTTGGTATAGCTCAAAAGGGTGTTGGCTTTCAGGATTGTTCCCACCTTGCTAGTCCCCACCTCCGAAAGGAGGAGACTGACCTCGGCTGACAGGTGAGGTGCGGTTTGTTGCGCGCACCAACTTAGGGATCCCAAGAGAGCCCTGAGTTGCCCTTTTTCCCTCTCGGTGGTGTCTGCCTCTCGTTCGCGACGGCGAACCGCTCCAATAGGGATCTCGGAGATGGAATCAATGTACTGTTCCTGTGAGAGTTCGAACCCTGACTCGGTCTGTCGGATCAAGACCCCACATTGTACAAATGAATCCTCTTCCCAGTCTCCCCACTTGAACTTGGTTTTGATCTGGTCCAGGATGCCCTGCCACTCCTTGTCATCGTCCCGGCCTCCAAACAAGAAGTCGTCTACGTGGCCCGAAATCATGCCACGTAGTTGGCCCTGGGGGCGCCACACCCACGCGCAGGCATCTGACCATAAACGCTGTAGCCCAAGCTGTTCCAAGAAGGTTGCCACTGTTCTGTACCATTCCAAAGGAGCGTCGACTAGGCCGTAACAAGCCTTTCGTAGGCGGGTCACTGCACCCTTTTCCAGGCCCATCGCAGTGCATATCTCGTCACATGGGATGCAATGTAAGACGTCCGGATATTCCCTGCCTTGCAGGAACGCTCCCGACACATCTCCTTTGCGGAGTCGCCAATGATGCATAGTGGCGGCTTGTAGCATCATCTGACGTGTCTGCCTCGTCATGACAGGTGCCGTTGTGGCACGATGTTCATACGACGGGTCTTGATAGCCTAGCAGCACCGCCCTCGCCTTTGCTTTATAAGAGCCGTCGTCGCGCAACTTCCACGTCAGTATCCATCTCATCCCCACTGCTCGCTCTTTTGTAGGTCGAAGATGAACTGGAATTGCCTCGAATGCCTTGGCAGCAATAAAGTTCTTGACTTCAACCTCCTTGGCCTCGCGGAACTTCTGAAGGTCCTGTGGGCTGAGTTTGCGTTCGCAAACTTCAACCGCGCGACGCTTAAAAGCTCCCACGAAGAAATGCGTGAGGTCCTTGGACATGGCCTGTAGTCCACGCTGGCTTGTTGGTACGTCCACTTCCACAGTCACGGCGGCGGTTTCCTCACTCCAGTAGGAGGACTCCTGCACCAGGAAGGCCTCCTCTCCCAGTGTCTCGGTCCAGTGTTGACTCGCTGTCTCGCCGGTTGTGGGGCTCGCCGAAGTGCGAAGTCGCTGTGGGCTGCTTCCTTCCACATGAACATCTTCATCCATGGCGTCCGGGTGCGTCGCTGTAGCCGGTCGGCTGCTTGGTCCCGGTCGTTTCATAGAGATGCGTCTGGTGGGTGGTAGCTCCTGCTGGATATCTTGTGCCCTCTGCCACTCCGACACGCTGGGAATGTCCTCGCTGACGTCCTCGTACTGATTGCCACCAATCGACTGGGCGACTCGCGTGAAAGTCCAGGGAACCGCATCTGATTCCACCATGGCTTCCACCAGCTCCTCCCGATGGGAGGCTGGCCGTAGTTGCTCTGGAGCGCACTTGATCAAAGTGCGCCCGCGTACGCACCAGATGGAGCTCCCAGGTCGTAAATCGCCCTGGGAATCCCGCTTGGTTTCGGTGGCGAGCACCCTCGCCGGTCCTAGGAACCGGCCCTGTTTGGAGCCTGGTTTCTTCTTTCCTTGACCGGACTCCTGAGTCCTCCAGTAGAAAACCAAATCTCCCGGCGCGTAGTGCCTCGTGGGCTGCGGTCGCGAGTGCTGCGCGCGGTCCAAGCGCTCCTTGGTTCTCCAATCCACCATCGCCTTCTCCGCAACTGCTTGTCGCCGTAACAGGCCTTGAAATTCTCCTGAAGCGTTTGCGGCTTGCAGTTCCTCAGGCAGCTGCTGGATTTCCTGTGTCATGCGGCCCGTGGCGTCACGGCCACATCCAAAAGCCAGTTGCATTGGTGAAAACCCACGTATCACATCACGCTGATTAAACGTGAGTATGGCGGTGGCCAGAGCCTCTTCAGGAGTGATCTGGTCGTCTTCATCCGCTAACTTGCTCATGACTTCTTTCACGCCCTTAATCGCTCCTTCGCAAGCACTCATTTGCCAATGGGCTTCCCCCGGAATGATATCCAGGTAGATGTGATGTCTATCGGCAAATTCCTCTAGGGCCTTGCTTCTGAAGGCCCCCGCTGGGTCCAGGCGTAACGTCTGTGGCTCTCCGAAATACTGTATCCAGCCTTCTCTCATGTAGTGCAGACATGCTGCAGCACTGGGTGTTTGCTTTGCCCCTCGGGTCAGTATCCGAGCTACACGGTATCGTGAGTTCTCGTCAATCAAAAGAAGAAATTGCACATGCTCTCCTGTGGTGGGGTGTCGCCAATCACCCACATCACCCGCCAGGGTACTCCAACGGGGAGGGAGAGGTTCCAATGAGGCCACATGTCTGGGTGTCACATGACGCTTCTCATCACAGATGGGGCACGAAAAATCTTGTGCCAAACGCAACACATTCTCGCTTGCACCTCTCCTTCTCAACGCAGTCACAAGATGACGTGTGGATCCATGTCCCGTGGCCGCGTGCAACTTGTACAAGCTGCGCTTGATTCTCTCCTCTTCTTTCTGGCTCAACCCTGGCGCACTCGGATCACTGCCTACCATGTCTGCCGCACATGCACTCTGACCTCCTGCTGCCCTGAAGCTGCCTATCCCAGGAACCTTGAAGCCCATCCTCGCCAGACTCTTCCGAACTCCCGAAGAAACCCTATCAACCCCTCGGCTAGTAAACCCGGTTATCGTGATTCGGTCTCCGTTCCAGGCCTCTGTCTCGTGCCACTGCTTCGGGTAGAACTGGACCACTCGGTGCCGAGTGGGATGTCGGCGTCCGGTGATGGTGCTGCCATTGGGCAACGCCTTTGTGGTGGTGTTCTGACGTCTGTTTGGGTCCGCTGGTTCTTCTATCCACAATTCCCCATGGGTGTAGGGTCCTAGTCCTATCAGGTAGTTCGGCTGGCTCCCTTTGTTGTGGAGATCGCGGTGGAGGGGAAGTTGGGAACCAAAGTTGATAACCACGGAGGTCCAATGCGCTTGTTCCCCGCAATGCTTCTGGAGATAGTTGTTCAGATACTGGGTCACATGTTGGTATCGCTCAGTATTTCGGGTGATGCCATACATGGCTCCGTGCGCATACAACCCAAAAGTAATGTACTGCGAGCTGTTTTGTTTAGCCATGTCTCGTTTGGTTTTCAGTTGTTCACGAGGAATGCTCTGCAGTAATTGTTCACAAGCTTCATGTGTGTAGTTGCTTTGGCTGTTGAGGGTTTGGGCGAGGAGCTCACACGCTTGTAGACTGTCACAGCTCTCACACAATTCTTGTACCTCCACCTCGCCTGGACACCCCTCCGAACTTCCGAAGAAACCCTGGCACAACCCCGAACTTCCGACAAGACCCTGACCCTCCCCAGCCACGGCACAGTCGCGAATCCACGGCTCTTGGAGCTTAAGGTCTTCGGGATTAAGGGGCTTAAGGGTCACGTTCCCTTCTTGAAGCATGCACACGGCACACCTGCTTTCGACATCACCTGAGCGTGATTGTCCACAAGTACATCGAGGGCCTTCTCCGAAGCCCTCGAGAAGACTACTTTGTCCTTGACACTCGCGGATCACATCCTCGTGTTTCATCTCTTGCAACAACACAGAGGTCACCCTCTTAGCAAACTCCGGAGTGTACTCACCACTAGCATGCATAAGTCGACTTTCACAGCGAGCGTGCTTGTAGTTGCAAGGACAATGACATGGCATGTGCATGACTTCCGCAAGCCTGGCGTGTGTAGTAGCTAACTTCCACCC